TACTACTCCTACTCCTACTCCTACTCCTACTCCTACTCCTACTCCTCCACCTCCTCCTCCTCCTCCTCCTCCCCCTCCATGGCGCGCGGAGCGCGCCAGAGGCGGCGCCAGAGGCACCGCGGAGGGGGTGGGGGGGGGGGGGCCGTCAACGACCCAGGAAATCCGCGCGGAGCGGCGGAGGGGGAGGGGGGGGGGGTCGGCAGCAGCGGGGGGGCAGGAGGGGGGAGCAGGCGTGGAGGGGGCGAGGGGGGGCGAGGAGGGAGCGAGGAGGGGGCGAGGAGGGGGCGAGGGGGAAAACGAGGAGGGGGCGAGGAGGGGGCGAGCAGGGGGCGAGGGGGGCGAGGGGAAAACGAGGAGGGGGCGAGGACTTCTTCTCGAGGCCTCGCCGAGCGCGGTGGTGCACTCCTGGGAACAGAAGGTACATCAGGAGGCAACGTCTGGGAGGCTTTCGCAAGAGCGATTCAGGGCTTTGAAGCCCGATTGAGGTGCTCGGGGGCGTTCAAGAGGGGGGCTTCTAAAAGGGACGGGTGCACATAATGTCCCGAGGCATTTACGCGGACGGCGGGTGGACCTGGGGACGTAGTGGGGGCCATGAAATCTGGGAGATATCATAGCCACGGCCATGACATCCACCCTCAGCCATCACCCCCCTCTGAGACACCCCCGAGGTACCATCGAGCCGTATCAGGCCGGATTCAGCCCAGGATAAAGCCGGATTAAAGAGGATCAGGCGGAATTCAGCCAGATTTGGCCAAATTCGGCCGGTCTTCTACCGCGAACACAGTGCGGGCGCGGCCGCAAGAAACCCCCACAAGAAACTCAACCCTGAAAACCCGCGCGCGAAGTGCACCGGAGGGGAAACCTGAAGCAGCCTGAACGCAGCAGCTCCTTCAACGGCCGCGGGAATTCAGCGCGCAGCGCGCGGAGCGAAGAAACCCAGGATACCCTGACGAAAAGCACATGGTTTCTTGATGCGCGCCCCCACTGTATACCAGCCTCGATGCTGGAGATAGCCTCCTGGCAGTTGCATCCTGGGGAACAGGAGCAGTAAGAGGCGCTGAGGCAGCGGCGCGGCACAGGACGCTCTCGCTGGTCGGGGGACACCAACTTCGGCGGCTTGAGCAGACCCCGAACAGCCAGCTTTTTGCCATTTGGGACTTCTGGAGGCCGGCGAGCACAAAGTCCACGAAAAGAAGGGGCGTCCACGAGGAGGGCTAGATCTGGAGTGAACCCTCCTCAGGGTGAATTCCTTCAGCGCTCGGCCAACGGAGCGTGAAGCCTGGAACCAGCCTTCCTGCTCGCGATTGCTTGAAGCCTGACTTCTTGCCCACGAACCAGACGGCGTATGGTTTGCGTGCACTGACACGAGCGCCTTCCAGTTTTCACCCTCCTGCGCCCTAAGCGGCCGCCCCTCCGCGGGCATACAGGCCTGACGCTTGACCCCGGAGCTTCCCCCGTAAGACTGGCGATCCCTCGAGGCCTCCCAAATGAGGTCCGAGTAAATGGGGTCGGAGGATCGCGCCGCATCGACAATGCATAGCCGATGCATCGGCGATGAATCGGCGATGCATCGGCGACGTCGGTGATGCATCGTCGACGTCGGCGTGGATAAAAACGGGCTTCACATCGAGCCACATTGTCGATGCATCGGCGATGCGGCGCGATCCTTCGACCCCACCTGCTCGGACCCCATCTGGGAGGCCTAAATAGATCCTGGAGCTTCCCCCCTGGGGCAATTTTTTCCTGACAGCCCCCTGGCGGACGCCCTCCCCACGTGCGTGGTGTGGGACGCACACGGACCTACTGCTGATGTGTGCTGATGTCGGACACGCACGCACGACATAGGAATATATATATATATATATATATATATATATATACGTATATAGATATATCGCAAAATCTTGTGATGCATCGCTTCCCGAGCGGTATGGCCAGGAAGGGCCCGCCACGGAGCTCATACTGTAAGATCTCCGAGCGTGCGCGTCGCCTTCGCGTCACCGACGCATGTACAATATCAACATAGGTACGTTTGGGTCCCGCCTGTCCCTCTACGGGGGGGAAATTCAAGAACAGTCAAGAAATAGTAGGAGGACGGTGTGTTTTACTACTTTTGGAGCATTTTCGGAATTTTCTGCGCGTTGTTAGCTTCGCCCGAAATCCCCCCGCCCGACCTAAAAGTACGTTTGGGTCGTGCTTTTCGCGCTCCGGCCCTTCCATCGGGTGTTGCTGGAAGGGCCCGGGGCCCACGGTGCCCCCAGGATTCACGAGGAGGCCCCCGCGGCAACCCCCGATTCACGGACTTCCTCGTCGCTGTGCACGCCTCCGGCACTCGCGCACAAGGACTCCACTTTCCGAGCACGCTCCCCCTTCCCCCCGCGCCCCCTCTGCCCCCCCCCCCCGACGCATCTGCTCAGTGTCAGGTCGGGCATGTGCTCCTACAGGCGGATTTTGGAAGGAAAAAACAAAGAGCAGAGCTTCCAAACAATCCAGAGAGCACGAAAGACCGCCCCCGGACTGCTCCTCGCTGCTCTTGCACATACTCCTCCTGCAGAGGGACCTGCCCGATCTGAGCTTCGTGCCTCGATTCGCGTCGGAGCGCCCCTCCGTCGCTCGACGCTGCTTGAGCCGAGCGGCCGCAGACCATTAAGCGATGGGGCGCGGCGCTGACGGTGCGCCGCCCGCGGCTCCGAGAGCGGAGCCGGCGCCACCGCGCGCGGCCCGAGCTCGAGGCCGCGGGCAGCCACGCACGAGCCCCGGGAGCTCGGCCGCGGGCCCGGCTGCGAGTGCCGCCGAGGCCTCACCGGCGACGCCGCGCGGTTCCACGGGGCCCCGGGAAGCTGGGGAGTCTGGAGAGAATCCCCTGGAGCCAACTCGGGTGGCCTCTGAGCGGTTCCGACACTGCGCCGCCAGAATCCGTCCAGGTCCACTGCCGCGGGATCGCGACCTGGGGTCTCGGGAAGCGGCAGATCTGGACATCTGCCTGTCCACGCGGGCGCGCAGATGTCCACGTCCACGACTCCTTAAGATCCCAGGCCTCACCGGCGACGCCACGTGGTTCCAGGGGGCTCAGGGAAATCTGGGGAATCCTCTTTCGGTGGCAACTCATGGGAGCCTTCCATATCCGTTTGTCGGCTCTCGCGAATCGACGCTGATCAACTCTCAATCGACGCTAGTCGACGCTAATCGAGGCTAACCGACGCTAAATCGGTGCTATCTCATCGACTACCAAACGCTAGTCGACGCTAATCGACGCCAAAGGCGGAATTGCGACGGTACACAAGGCTCCCATGATTTGCCACCGAATCCCCTGGAGCCATCTTGGGTGGCCTCGGAGCGGTTCCGAAACGACATCCGACACTGGCACGTGTTCTTTCACAAAACAGGTCCCTGCACGCAACAACGCTGGTTCGCGTCAGCTCTGAACTCCTGCGGGATCTCATGACTATCAAGCATTCTCATCGCGTAGTCGTCCACACCACCGACGCGCAAGACACGCCCGTGGTTCCACGGGGCCCCAGTCGGGTGAGGCTTCATGGGAGCCTCTGTGAACCTCGTGATTTCGATCAGATTTCGTCCAGACTTTGACCACCCCTCTTCACCCTTTTCGTCCAAATCTCGTCAAGATTTTGTTCAGCTGCCGACCAAATCCGACGGAATCTGGACGAATCCGTCGTGTCTTCGGGCTCTGGGGGCCCTCACTGGGCCCCGGGACTGTCAAAAGAAAATCCAGAATGCAAAACGAGTCCTGGGGAAAGAGTCCAGACTTCTGGGGACCTCGTATGGAAAAAAACTGCCCTGGCGAAGGACCCAACCACATGCAGTTGTGAATACCGCGTTGTGGGGACCGATTTCGGTTGAGCTCCCCATTGGGCCACGAAACGTGTGAGGTGTGTGCGCACATCGGCGGGGAACCGCATGTGGACCGTGCCAATGCGGCCTTCGGTGGAGCTTAAGGGGTATGCCGACATGGGCAGGGAACCGCATGTGAACTTTGCCACTGGGACCTTCGGTGGAGCTTTCTATGGGGCTACCAAACGTGTGAGGGACGCCAAAGTCTGCGGGGAATCGCATGTGGACTTTGCCACTGGGGCCTTCGATGAGGCTGCCTGTGGGGTCACGAAAAGCGTGTGATGGAAGTGCCGAACAGGTTGACATGCGGAGGGCAGGGGGAAGATGATGGGAGGAGGGAGGAGAGGGGAGAAGGGAGGAACGAGGAACGCGGGGTTCTGTCTCCTCAAATCGAGGACCCAACTCCACAGGCTGGTTGTCGCCTGCGAGCGAGGGGGGGAAGTGAGAAGGAGAAGGCCTTCTCAGAAGGCTCGAAGTCCCCCGAACGCTCGTGCCTTCTGAGAAGTTTCCTGGGCCTTCCCCGGAGACGCTGATAACTTCTCAGAAGGCGCGAGGGCTTCGGAGAAGTCCCGCCGCCTTCTGAGAGGGCCTCTTCCTTCTCATTCCCCCCCCTCGCTCGCCGCCGAGGTCGGGAGCAACGCATCGGATCCCTGGGGAGTGCCGCCGAAGCCTCACTGGCGACCCCGTGCGGTCCCACGTGGCCCCGGGAGGGGCCCCAGGAGCCCGAGAACCTCGAAAAAAGCCTTCGGGACCCCTCCCCCTCCAGCCTTTTTCTGCCCTGCAGGAGGCACCGCTCGACGATGTGCTGCCGACCAGGCCTGCAGGGTGGGCCCCTTCGGGCCAGCTCACCCGAGTCGGCTTCTCCGCTCGCACGGGTGCTCCCCGCCCCCGCATGTGCATCTATTCGCATGGACCTGTCCGCCGTGAATGTCTAGGCGCAAGAGCTTTCGAATATGAACGGGCTTCAGTTGTGACGGTCTGGACATGAATCTAACTGCGAATGGATTGGAGTGTGAATGAGCCTGAGAAGTACGAGCGCGTCTCTGCGCATGAGCCTGGGGCCTCCTGGGGCCTCCTGCAACCTACTGGGGCTTCCTGGGGTCTCCAGGAGCCTCTTGGGGACTCCTGGGACCTCCTAGTGAGGTTTCGTGCCCCAGGAGAGGCCCAATATATAGCAACAGACGTACATAAAACATTGCGGATTAGAGCCACAGTAGAAGGGCAATCTATAGGAACACACGTAAAACACCAAGGACTCGTGCCCCAGGAGAGGCCCAATATATAGGAACATAAGTAAAACATGTAGGAATGTGTACACAGGAGAAGGACAATATATAGAAACATACGTATAACATCAAGGAATCGTGCTTCAGGTGAGGCCCAATCGATAGGAGCATACGTAAACCACATGGGATTGGAACCACTCCTGTTGCCTTCTGAGGCCTCCTGCTCCTGGGGCCTCTCGGGGCCTCCTGTTGCCTTCCGAGGCCTCCTGGCGCTTCCTGTGGCCTCCTGGGGCCTTCTGTGACTTCCTGAGGCCTTCTGGAGCTTCCTGGGGCCTCCTGGAGCCTCTTGGGATATCCTGTGGCCTCTTGAGTCTTCTGTGGCCTCCTGATGCCTCCTGGGACCTCATGTAATTTCCTGGGGCCTCCTGGAGCCTGTGGGAACCTCCTGTGGCATCCTGAGAAGAATCTGGGCCCACGAGCCTGGCACCAAAACAAACAAACCGATCGAGACGTCCTCAAAATCTAGCCCACCTGGGGGGTGAAAATGAGCGCCTCGCTCGAGACATCCTCCAAATCTGCTCCGAAAGCGAAGGATGTTGGGACAGAGAACAGGCAAACCGCTTCAGACATCCCCACAAAACGGCCGCGAACCGGACCGCGCAATACCCCTCGGCGGCTCCCTTTAGGGACGTGAAAATGAGCGCCTCGCAAATCTGCTCCGAAAACGAAAGATGTTGGTTGGGACAGAAAACAAGCAAACCGCTTGAGACATCTCCACAAAACGGCCGCGAACGGGACCGCGCAATACCCCTCGGCGGCTCCTCTCAGGGACGTCACAATGAGCGCCTCGCTCGAAACATCCTCCAAATCTGCTCCGAAAGCGAAGGATGTTGGGAAAGAAAACAGGCAAACCGCGTGAGACACCCCTACAAAACAGCCGCGAACGGGACCGTGCAATACCCTTCGGCGGCTTCGGAACGTGAAAATGAGCGCCTCGCTCGAGACATCCTCCAAATCTGCTCCGAAAGCGAAAGATGTGGGGACAGAAAACAAGCAAACCGCTTGAGACATCCCCACAAAACGGCCGCGAACGGGACCGTGCAATACCCCTCGGCGGCTTAGGAACGTGAAAATGAGCGCCTCGCTCGAGACATCCTCCAAATTTGCTCCGGCCGCAAAGGATGCTGGGACAGAAAACAGGCAAACCGCGTGAGACTGTCCTACAAAACGGCCGCGAACGGGACCGTGCAATACCCCTCGGCGGCTCCCTTTCAGGGACGTGAAAATGAGCGCCTCGCTCGAGACATCCTCCAAATCTGCTCCGAAAGCGAAGGATGTTGGGACAGAAAACAAGCAAACCGCTTGAGACATCCCCACAAAACGGCCGCGAACGGGACCGTGCAACACCCCTCGGCTGCTTAGGGACGTGAAAATGAGCGCTTCGCTCGAGACGTGCTCCAAATCTGCTCCGAAAGCGAAAGATGCTGGGACAGAAAAACAGCAAACCGCGTGAGACATCCCCACAAAACGGCCGCGAACGGGACCGTGCAATACCCCTCGGCGGCTCCCTTTTAGGGACGTGAGAATGAGCGCCTCGCTCGAGACATCCTCCAAATCTGCCCCGAAAGCGAAGAATGCTGGGACAGAAAATTACTCGACGCGGGGTTCTCCATATGTGCATATCATTATCTTGGTAAGTCTTTCTATTGCTATCTGTCAATGAGCGCCTGTGTGCGAGGGCGAACCGCTCGCTCGAGACATTCCCGCAGTCTGCAAGCATGAGTGCGACCAATAGCAAATCTGAGAGCGACTGATTCTGAGAGTGAGTTAATATGGGTGCGATTGAGCCTGGGTTTGATTGGGTATGCGTGTGAGTAAATATGAGCGCGAGTGCGTCTGTGTGCGAGTGGGTCTGAGTATGGACGAATCTGAGTGTGAGCCAGTCTGTGATTGTGCGGGTCGTAGCATGATGAGTCTGAGCATGAGTGAGTCCGGGCTTGAGTGAGCCTGGGTGTGAGAAAAAGTGTGTGTAAATGAATCTGAGTGCGAGTGAGCCGAGTGTGATTGGGTATGGATGTGAGGCAGTCTGAGTGTGAGTCGGTCTGCGTTTGAGCGGACCGAAGGATGATGAGTCTGAGCAGGAGCGAGTCTGAGTACGAGTGTTCTGAGCGCGAGTCTGAGTGTGAGTAAATTTAAGTATGGATATGAGCGAGTCTAAGTGCGAGTGAGCCTGCGTGTGACTGAGTCTGAATATGAGTGAGTATGAATGCAGAAGGGTGAGGGAGAGCGGAGAGCGAAGGAGAGTGAGGCGGAAGCGTTTGAGTAAAACCTAAAGCCTTGGAACATCGAACCTCGATCGTCTGGCCCTGGCTACTCGAGTTGTCCACGTCCTCCTCCTCCTCCTCCTCCTCCTCGTCATCATCATCATCATCACCATCACCATCACCATCACCATCACCATCACCATCACCATCATCATCATCATCATCATCATCATCATCATCATCATCATCATCAGCATCATCATCATCATCATCATCATCATCATCATCATCGTCATCAGCATCATCAGCAGCATCATCATCATCATCATCATCATCATCATCATCATCATCATCATCATCATCAGCATCATCATCATCATCCCCTTCCTGCTTCTGCTCCTACCGTGTTCATGCTGTCCTCCTTCTCCTCCTCCTCTTCTTCCTCCTCCTCGTCCTCTTCCTCCTCCTCCTCGCTTCCTCCTTCTCTTCTTCCTCCTCCTCCTCCTACTCCTCCTCCTCCTCCTCCTCCTCCTCCTCTTCCTCCTCCTCGTCCTTCTCCTCCTCCTCCTCCTCCTTGGGAGTGTTGAAACCAGCAAATCGCCTGAGACATCCACCCAAAACTGCTCCGAAAACGACAGATGTCCAGCATCATAACGGCCAAACCGCCTGAGACATCCCCGCAAACTGGGCGCGAACGTCCTCCAAATCTGCTCCGAAAGCGAAACATGTTGGAAGAGAAAATGGCCAAACCGCCTGAGACATCCCCACAAAATCCCGCGAAAGGGGCCGAGTGAAATACCCCCCCGCCGCTCCCCTTAGAGTGCTGAAACCAGCGAATCGCCTGAGACATGCTCCGAATCTGCTCCGAATGCGAAACATGTTGGAAGAGAAAATGGCCAAACCGCCTGAGACATCCCCACAAAATCCCGCGAAAGGCGCCGATGGAAATACCCCCCCGCCGCTCCCCTTAGAGTGCTGAAACCAGCGAATCGCCTGAGACATCCTCCAAATCTGCTCCGAAAGCGAAACATGTTGGAGGAGAAAAAGGCAAAACCGCCTGAGACATCCCCACAAAATCCCGCGAAAGGGGCCGAGGGAAATACCCCCCCGCCGCTCCCCTTAGGAGTGCTGAAACCAGCGAATCGCCTGAGACATCCTCGCAAACTGCTCCGAAAGCGAAACATGTTGGAAGAGAAAATGGCCAAACCGCCTGAGACATCCCCACAAAAATCCGCGAAAGGGGCCGAGGGAAATACCCCCCCGCCGCTCCCCTTAGGAGTGCTGAAGCCACAGAATCGCCTGACACATCCTCAACATCAGTGTGTGTGAGTCATCCGATGAGTGGACCTGAGTGAGTGTAGTGAATGTATGAGTACAAGTACGAGTGAGTCTGAGTGATGAGTGAGTCTGAGTGATGAGTGAGTCTGAGTGATGAGTGAGTCGGAGAGATAAGTCTGAGTCATGCCTGAGTCCGAGTGATGAGTGAGTCTGAGTGATGAGTGAGTATGAGTGATGAGTGGGTCTGAGTGATAAGTGAGTCTGAGTGACTGAGTGAGTCTGAGTGATGAGTGAGTCTGCGTGATGAGTGAGTCTGAGTGGGTCTGAGTGAGAGGAGTGGTGTGTTCTCGTCTGTGTTCTCCTCCGGCGCGGTCCGCCAATAACAAGAACCCCATACTTAGGATATGGGGAACAAGCGAACCGCTTGGGGCATCCCCACAAAACTGCCGCGAACGGGGCGTGCGTGAGTCTCTGCGCTCAGCATGAGTAAGTCCGAGTATGAGTAGGTCTGAGTATGAGTAATGTTGTGTGTGAGTAAGTCTGGGTATGAGTGAGTCTGAGTGTGAGTCAGTCTGTGTATGAGTGAGTCTGGGTATGAGGAGGAGAGAGGAGGAGAAGGAGAAGGAGGAGAAGTCGGCGGCGTCCAAGAAATAACAAGAACCCCATCTGAGGATGTGGGGAAAAATAGTCGGGGGACGCTTCTGTGACTACTTTGGACTACTCTTGAACATTGTGCAGTTATGTTACATGTTCCTTCCAAATCCGCCTGTGGGAGTACATGCCCGACATAAAGACATCCCAGCGCAGTCCGAAAGTTTACGTGTATGCTGTGTTTGCCTTCTCCGAGGGGAGGGGAGGAGGGTCAGCAGCAGCGGGGACACGAGGAGGAAGCGAAGCAGGAGAGAGGAGTCCCGAGGTCCGAGGGCGCGGAAAAAATGACAGCACGTCGTGAAGAGTCACGGCCAACGCCCTGGGCCCCAGCTTTCTGCGGCGGCTTTCGAGCCCGATCGATCGGCGAGGGCCCCAGGCCCGAAGCCAGGCAAAAACGCGCGGCTCAGAGAAAAAACGCGACGCAGGAATCTCACGGCTAGGTCGGGTATGTCCTCTTATCGGCGGATGTTAGACGAACAGAATGCATTATACATGGATGGTGTACAAATACGTACCTGCATACCTACATGCATGCAAACATGTATGCCTGAATGCATCCATACATACGTGCACGCAAGTATGAATGCACACGTAGGTATACAGATACATATGCATGCATACATACATATATACATACATACATACATACATACATACATACATACATACATACATACGTATACACATGCATGCATGCATGCATGCATGCATACATATATACATACGTACATACATGCACACATACATACAGACGCACATGCATACATGCATGCATGCATGCATGCATACATACATACATGCATACATACATGCATACATACATACATACGTACATGCATACCTACAGTCAGACATACATACATACATACATACATACATACATGCATGCATGCATGCATGCATGCATTCATGCATGCATTACATGCATGTATGCGTACATGCATGCATACATATATATATGCACACATACGTGCATACGTACATACATACAGACACACACACACATACAGGTATACATACATGCATACATGCATTCATACATACGGACATGCAATCATGCATGCATGCATACATAGATACCTACATGCATGCATGCATGCATACATACATACATACATGCATACATACATACATACATACATACATACACACATACACTCATACATGCATACATGCATGCATACATAGATACATAAATACATGCATACATGTCTGATTGCATACATACATACATGCACTCATATATATGTGTGTATATGTACATAAATATATATATATATATACATATACATATACAAGTATACATGCATGCATGCATGCATCCATGCAAGCATGTATGCATGCATGCCAACACACAAAATTATATCCATGTATACATACATGCAAACATACATGCATGCATACACACGTAGTTCCAAACATATACATATATATATATATATACGCATACATACATAACTACATGAATGCATGCATACATACATACATGCATGCTTGCATGCATGCATACATACATACATGCACACATACATACATGCGTGCATGCATACCTACATGCATGTGTGTATGCATGCATGCATACAGACAATGTAATTACATGCATGCGTGCATACAAACATACAGACACGCAGGTAGGCAGACAGACAGACAGACAGACAGACAGACAGACACATATACATATATATATATATATAGATGCATGCATGCCTGCATGCATACATACATGCATACATACATACTGTTATCTATATCTGTATATATATAAACAGACCAAAACAATCGAGAACAAACAACAAATTCAGACAACTATGTTTACCTATTATTGACCGTTTCTCCTGAAGAGGGACACGCCCGACTTGAACCGAGGATCCCAGGGAGGGGAGGGGGGCGAGGAGGGCGGCTGCCGCGGCTGGCGTCCCCCGGCGCGGGTGCCCGGCGCTCAGACCTTGCAGGCGTCCTTCTTGGCCACCAGGGGCACCTTCTCCCTGCTGAAGGGGCCCCAGAACACACAAATAAATACACACAAATAAAATGATTCCCCATATTTTCCCATATTTTCTGGGTTTCTGTCTTCCCCCCCACTTCCCATATTTTCCCATATTTTCTGGGGAATCGAGGATTAATTGTGTCTGTGTGTTTCTTTTCCCCCCGACCTGCTCTCGGCCTCGAGGGCCTCGCGCGCCTTGCCGTAGAGGACGCCCCCGAGGATTGTGACGATCGCGCCGACGACCTCGGGAGGGCCGCGAGTGCGCCCAGGCGGACTGGCTGCCGTCTTCAGAGGAGGGCCAGTCGAGACAACGGCTGCTCTCCCTAGCGCTTTTCGTCCCCTCTCGGCCTCCTGGAAGCTCCTCGTCGCCACGGCTGCACCCGCGTCGAAAAACCGCTCAGGATGAACCCCTGGAATGGTCTGGGGACCGAGTTTGAAGGATTGGTTGTTGGGCGGGAGAGCGCCGACGACCTCGGGAGAATCACGAGGGCGCCGACATGGGTTGACGAACGTTTGCCAGTCGAAAAACGACCCAGGATCGAACTTCGAGGATCCAGGTTGGAGGATCGACGCCTTATTGTGCTGTTGGGCTTCTGGGCCTCCTCGTCGCCGCGGCTGGATCAGCCTCAAAGTTCTGGTCAGAACGAAACCCACGAGAGGTCCAGGGGCCAACGTCTGCCCCCAGGGCCCAGACCTCCTCGCGTCGTGAGAAGCAATCACAACGCAGGGTTTTTTGGCCATTTTCGGCCTCCGGGGGCCCGCGACAGCCGACCTCTAAAATCGACCTCTGGGATCGACCTCTGGGGGCCCTCGCCGCTGGACCCAGGGAAGGGGTCCCAACCTCTGGGGATGGACCTCGGGACGCCGAGATGGGTGGACTGATGGTGTCCCAATCGGCAAACGGCGGTGGTGAGGCTCCGGGGCGCCGCGAGAGGCGGCGCCGGGGTAACCGAGACCGCCCCAGGCCGCTCGGGGGACCTGCAGAGGCCAGCCAGGACCACCCAGGGGGCCTGTCTCTGCGGGCGCCGAGGTGGGTCGACTGACGTCTGCTCCAATCGGGAGACGGCGTGGGTACTGCGCGCTGGCGTGACGGCTTGGCAACTCGGCTGAATCTGGAGGTTTAGGATTCAAGGGCGGCTGTGCTGCTGCTGATGATGCTGATAATGCTGATGTTGATGTTACTGATGATGATGCTGGTGATGATGATGATGCTGCTGATGATGATGAAAATGATGATGCTGATGATGCTGATCATGATGATGATGCTGATGATGATGATGTTGATGATGATGCTGCTGATGATGATGGTGGTGGTGATGATGATGCTGATGATGATGCTGATGATGATGGTGATGATGATGATGCTGATGATGCTGGTCATGATGATGGTGATGATGATGATGCTGATGATGATGATAATGCTGATGATAATAATGATGATGATGATGATGATGATGATGATGATGATGATGATGATGATGATGGTGGTGGTGATGATGATGCTGATGATGATGCTGATGCTGATGCTGATGCTGATGCTGATGATGATGCTGATGATGATGATGCTGATGCTGATGCTGATGCTGATGCTGATGCTGATGCTGATGCTGATGCTGATGCTGATGCTGGTGCTTGTGCTGATGCTGATGCTGATGCTGATGCTGCTGATGATGCTGCTGGCCACGGCAACAGGCCGCCCGTGTGCAGCAACGGCGCCAAAATCGGGACTCGCTGCCGCTTCCGCTTCCGCTGGCTTCCTGGGCGCCCAGTGTGCGCCTGCGCCGGTCCTGGCCAGCTCCACCCCCGGGCCAGGACTTGCCCAGCTTGCGCTCGCTCGGACGTCCATTCCCCGTGCAGCTGTTGGTCTCGTGCGTTTTTCCTTGCTCGCAAGATGATCCAAGATGCTCCTCGGTGGTCCTCGCCGTGAGGGGGGGGGGGGGGGGGAAAAGCACACGTCCGAGCGACGCCAAGCTGGGTGGCGACATCCGAGCCCTATCCCACCAGCCACCGATTCTCCTGAATCCATGGGAGGTGGGGGAAGGGCTCGGAGTTCGCCACGTGGTCGACGGACTCCGAGCCCCACTCCCGCCGCCCATCGAGCTGCCCGAATCGTTGATTGGCGAGGGCGAGGCTGGGACATCGCCGCCGAGCACTTTCCGGTGGCCGCCTGGACTCTCCTGCGGTGGGCTCCAGTGGGCTTCGGGGGGCAGCGACGGGGGCGCATCGGCCAGGGGAGAGCAACACAGTGTATCCAGAGGCGCCGATGGCCCATGCCTTCTGGAGGCTCCCGGGCGAATACGTGCAATGCCCGCCCCTGGGCCACTCGCCCGCTATCCTCGCCTCTGTGGACTCCCGTGGGCTCCCATGGGCTCCCTCTGGCTGCCGCACCTTCCGCGACGGCCGCTCGAGCTCTCCTGCGCAGGAGGAGGAGGAGGAGGAGGAGGAGGAGGAGGAGGAGGAGGAGGAGGAGTGGGAGAAGGGAGCACGACGAGGCGGAGGAGGGGGAAGAAGGAGGAGGAAGAGGAGGAGGAGGGGGAGGAGGAGGAGGAGGGGGAGGAGGGGAGGGGAGCCGCCCGCCACCCGCGACCCCGGCGGGCCCACCGGGGTGGTTGCAGCCCCGCCGCCGAGCGCCGCTCCGCTCCCGGTGGCAGCTCCTGGACTCTTGCGCGGTGGGCTCTCCCGCGGGCTCCCCTGCCCCCCCCCCCCGCGCCCGCCCGCTCTGGCTGCTGGCTCCATGCGGCGGACAGGGAAGGCCGGTGCGGCGAAATTCATCAGCACCCCCTGATTTTTGGGGAGGCGTTTGCCCTCTGGCGGTTCTCGTCCGGACACGGCTCGAGGTGGGCCTCGGAGGTCCGAGACGGCTCGCAGTGGGCCCCAAACATGGGCCACATGGTCTCAAAGGGGGCCCCAAGAGGCTCCACTCCGTGGCGGCCGCTCGAGCTCGGCCCCGGCGATGCATCGTCGATGTCGGCGATGCCTCGGCGACGTCGACAATGAAGCAGGTCGGGCTCCACATCGGGCCGCATCGGCGGTGCATCTGCGATGCGGCCCGACCCTCCGACCCCATCTGCGCCGACCCCATCCAGCGCCCGCCCTTGAGCAGGGACCGACCGTCCCCGCATTCCCACAGGCCTACCACCAAACGTTCTCAGAACCCAAGCATGTTCTATGAAAAAAACATTGCTCTCAGTACATACACCCGATGTGTTAAAACAAGACAGTCCCAGCCAGGAATGTTCTAAGAACATGTCGTGCAAACCACAAAAAGGCTCTTTCGGGGGCGGCAAAGAGGGGGGTGTCCAAGAGGACAAGCGGCCTGCAGTCAAGGTGCCGCGGGGGCACTGCAGGGTGGCGCCGGGGCGCCGCTATTGGTGAAACAATGCGACAACAACAAGATTCGATACATCACATTGTCTGGATGGAGGACAAAGAGGGGGAGGAGGAGGCAGACGGCGATGACGGCACTAGAATATTAGCCGCGTAACCATGGACACTCACTGTTGTGTGTACAAATCATGGCAAATCATGGCCGGCGGCATGTGCGCGGCCCAGCGGGGGGGCCAGGGACGTAATGAAATACGAAGAGGCGCCAGAAGATCTGGGGAAATATCATGGCCCCCGCCATGATATCCACCCCCCCCTAGTCATCACCCCCCTCTTTTCCGCCCCCGAATCTTGGTGGGCCTATAGGCGAGCAGGGACGCTGCGCCACTGCCTGACGCCCGCCTCCGCCCGGGCCAGCCCTCCCCGGCCGCGGCGCCGCAGGGGTGGGGGGAAGGAGGAGGAGGAGGAGGAGGAGGCCTAAGGGCTGGGCTTAACGACTTTTCGCCAATCGACTCGTGGGGATCAAGGCGGCCGAATCAAGGTAAATGCAAATGAACAGAAGTGGATCCAGGTAAATCCAGGCAAATCCAGAAAAAATCCAATGAAATAGCTGACGGACTTGCAACCCACCTGCGAGTGCCTTGCAAGTGGGGTGCAACCACCCTGCAACCTTCGCAAAGCACGGCGATCACTGAAGTAGATGGCGTCAGAGTAATTGGGTCGGAGGATCGCGCCGCATCGCCGACTTATCGGCGATGCATCGGCGATGCATCGGCGTGGAGAAATTCGGGCTCCACATCGAGCCGCATGCTCCGACCACAACCACCACGACTCTATCTGGGAGGCCTAGCACCATGCCACCCGGGCCCAGCCAGGAGCGCGCACTCACCGGTCGCGGCCACGCAAGACGAAGCCAGGACGGGGACGAACTCGGACAAAGACACATCGGGGGTCTCTGAGATCCGGCGGGTCCGGCGGCTGCATCGGGCGCCGCAGCCCTCTCAGGGCGTTCCGAGAGCGCTCCGGAGCGCTCTGAGAACGATTCACCCCTGTCCTAGGCTTAGATCGGGCATGTCCTGCTACAAGCAGATTTTGGACGAAAAACAAAGGCTGTCCGAAAAAGATTCAGAAATAGTGAAAAATAAACGAAAAATTGTCCCCACATTACGTTTGGACTACTCTTGCATTTTCCTCCTGCAGAGGGACATGCCCCACCTAATACTAACTCCGCCCGAATAGCCAGCCATCCGCGGACATCACTTTTCCGTCGGCGGCCGCCGCAGGTCCCGACCGCTCCCCCAGGGCCCAACGCTCTGTCCCTCCCTGGTACCCGCCCAGGCGCCCGCCAGAGCGCTGGAGGCGCGCCCGCGGCCGACACGGCGGGGCGCCCAGGGTGCGCCGAGGGCGTCGCGTCAAAAGAAAACGCTCCGCCCCAGCGCTATGCTGCAGCGCTGCTCGACCTGGTCTGGTGCCCGGTCCCAGAGACCGAAGCTGAGGGCGTCCGGGCTGAAACAAACACATCGTCGGAGATCGGGGCGCCCGGGAAACGGCGCGCGCGGGAGCGGTGCGCCCAGGATCGGTGCGGGCGTGTGCCTTGTCGGCTGCGCGCATCGGCGCCAGCGCCCTCGTCGCGACCAGCCGACTGGGGATGCCGCCATCCTCTGCTTGGCATGGGCAGAGACGGAGTATGTAACCTCTGGGACAGGTGATGGCGTGCCGCTCCGATGTCTCGATCAATAAAAAACGGCTGCGTGCAGGGGTGGCCCTCCAGCGAAGGAGGTGGCATGCGCGACCGCAACAACCTGCGCGCTTAAGGCCCTCCTCCTCCTCCTCCTCCTCCTCCTCCTCCTCCTCCTCCTCCTCCTCTCTCCTCCTCCTCCTCCTCCTCCTAATCCCTCCTCCTCCATCCTCCTCCTTCCTCCTCCTCCTCCTCCTCTCTCCTCGTCTTCCTCGTTTTCTCGTCTTCCTACTCGTCCTCCTCCTCCTCCTCCTCTCCTTCCTCCTCCTCCTCCTCCTCCTCCTCCTCCTCCTCCTCGCCCTCCACGTCCCCCTCTTCCTCCCCCTATTGGCCCATCTCGTGCTCGGCCGCTTGGGTTTTCCCCCCCCCCGCGCCCCCCGAAAGCCGCACACCTGAGGTCACCCTGGCGAAGGGCCATAATAATCCTAAGATCCTGGCGTTGCAAATATTTCACAACAGGTGTTTGTGCCCGGTTGCCAGCCCCAGGACACTTACAGATAGTGATGGCTCGAAAAATGACGCAAGAAAATGGGGTCGAGGGCTCTGGTCGCGATCTGTCGCGATACCGCAAGTGTTTTGCAACGTCAGATCTGAGGGCACATGTAGCGTCGAGGGTTCGGCGACTTCTGATGTCCCTCGACTCGCGGTGGAGCGTCCACGAATTGCTCCAGATTGCTAGGACATCTCTGGATACACCTCCATCTACAAAGATGTGCATCGCTTTGTTTGGATGACCCTCGATTTACCTCATGTCTCTAGAGTGCTCCCCGCAAGTCGATCGGACAAGAGTCGTCAAGCCCCTAGGCCACCCCGAGGCCTGGATCGGCGCAAGGCTCTTCGTCTTGAGGCAGAAAGCTTCGATGAAGATGATGACGAACTTGTTCGCGTTGACCAGCACCAGGAAGCTGGTGGCGCTGATCAGGCTCTGCGCCCAGATGCCTTACGGGCGGGCGTCGGGGTGAAGAAGAAGGGACTAGAAATGAGGCCGTGGATGTGAAAGGCTGATTTCCGTGAAGGGGAACTGTAGAACGATGTTGAGCGCGCGAAGAAATTGCAGAGCGGGCGCGAGAAGGCGGATATACCCCGGGCCCCAGAGCGCTAACGGCGGCGGAAAGGGGATACCATTACAGCAGGCGATAATGAGAAGGGACAGGTGAGCTACCGTTCGAGTCTGGTGCCAAAACCCGTCCGTCGGGCATTCGGTAGAACGGTACAAAGGAGGACCCCGCGAACCGCCCCTTCATACAAAAAGTAAAGTTGCCTTGCCACGAGGGGGCAACTTCATCTGAGTTCGACAGGTCCCTGGGCTGGCGGACTTCACTCCACTCCACGGGCACATTGGTCGCACACGGCGCCAACCGCAAAAAACGCTGCACGGCGCCAGCGGCAAGAACGGAGGTACTTCCGCCAGAGCCCGCGGGACAGGCCGAAACAAGCTAATCGATCCCCCTCCTGAACAAGTGCGAGACCGCTAAGGGAAACTGCTGGATATCCGCGAGCTGCCTGGACGCAGCCCGGGCGAGCCCGCTAACCAGTGTGATCGACTCGTCGATCTCGCCCGCCGATGTCCTACATTCGCCCACCGACCCCGCGCGACCTCGTTACACAGTCACGAGAGTCATCTCCTCATACCTGCGCGAGTGAGATACGTTGTGAACCAGTGGCGCCCTTATTTAGCTCATCGTCGCTGTACTTGACCGCGGCGTGGTCATAGCTGATCCGGCCATCCATCACGCTGAGAATTAGCCCTCGGCCCATGCTGCCCGCGGCCACGAGTCGGCCCGCGTGTCCCGAGTGTCGCACCAGTGCAAGACGTCGATCTGCAGGGTGCGCAGCTGGTCGGCCAACCACCACAGGCCCGCCACGCGGTTCTCGGACGGCGGCCGGACCAGGTCCATGAGCAGGGCGCCGAAGACGGACGCGCCGTCGATAACGCGGTCTGCGGGGACCGCGCATCCTCTTCCCCCCCAAACCTCCCGATCTCCTCGGCAAAGGCGGGGCCGCGTGCCATCTCGCGCAGCGTGAGGAGGTGCGCCTGCAGACTGTCTGATGCGACGCATGCTGCGAGCAGCTCTGAACCCGATGAGGATCAGCACGAAAGCTTGCGCGATCGGCTCACTGCGTCTAGCAGGCGGCACGCGTTTGCCAATGCGGTGGCACCTGCCGACACACGTATACGGCCCCTCTCATGCCGCACCCTGACTCCTGCTCACTCTCGAGGGATCCGTCGCCGTGCGCGCTGAATCGCCCGGCACACTCCACCGATGGAAATGCGACACGTGCCTTGGTCTTTCGCATGGCTAGAGCAACGGAGTCGAGCTGCATCACACGTCGGACGGGCAGCTTGTTCTTGGCTCCCTGCAGGGCGACCAATGCACACTGCGACGCGGCGCTGGGACAGCAGGGCGTAAACATGTCGGGCTCGTCAGCCCGCTCCCAGGAGGGCGACAAACAGGTCAGGAAGCTGACCTACGGCCGGCTCGTCAGCCTTGGCCTTGACCAGGTCAACGCGTCATCGGCAGAAGAGCATCGATGCACTTATCCTGGTCGAGCGCAACGGTGCCATCGGCACTGCGGTGCCGGTGCACTCCGCAGCTGGCGAAGTCGTCGCAGTCACCCTTCATAGAGCCGAAGACGCTCTCGATGTGGCTGCTTAGCCGGTCGACGCGCTCCTTTTGCACAGCGATCATCTGGTCGTCAACATACTTGGACAGCATGAGCGCTGGCCCCGAGACGCCACCGGCACAACTGCCAGACGACGCGCGCTTGACCTCAGGCTCGGGGCCCCACCTGGCAGGTTTGGCGCTGCACCCAGTTTGAGCGCGTCACCTGGGCGAGCTTCATGGAGAAGGCTCTGGGCACACCCACGCAGCCCGCACCCGGCTCGATGCAGCGCAGGCACTCGGTCCGCTCGTCGAAACTCTCGCAGCCAGGCACCTGCCTGAGGATAGCTGCACTGCCGGGTGGCAGGGTGAAGTTCACCGCTCGAGCTTCGATTGGCCCCTGCATTTTTGCATGCCTCGCAGGAGCGCCTTCTCTACGTCAACGGCGACGCACACCCAGTCGGGGCGACACGCTGCCTCCGAGGATAGCAGGCGCTGAGACGCCCGCTCCGCTACCCCAGCGAACATCCCCAGGGCTACGGCGCCCATGTCGCGGAAGCCCCATCAGCGCCATGCGGCACCGGGTGATCCTGACAGTCTCGCCGTCTGATCCCTTCCGGAACTTCCGCTTGCAGACACGTCTGAAGTCCACTGACATGTCGGGCGCCTCTGACCGGCCGCCCGAAACACTTGCATGTGACCCAAACCGCGAGCTCCTCGAGAGTGGCTGCTGCGACGAGCTCCTTCGACAGCCTCGAAACGTCGTCGTTGGACAGAAGGTCCGCGTCGCACTCGATGACCACGGACTTGACTGAGGCAAAACAGTTGAGGGCGAACGTCTGAGGAGCACGGGCAACACAGTCGCCAGACGCAGCCGCAACCTGGGCAGCGCTGGCGACAGTCTGCGCACGCAGCCTCGTTGAAGCTGAGATGCTTCGCGCGCCCCTGGATCGAGGTACAGCCCCACATGTCCTCCTACGTCGTCCTCCAACTCTAACGCGGCTCAGTCGTCCCGGGGTGCCCAGCGCAAGCAGGAGCGGCACTCCGCGTGGATCTGACGCTGGCGCTGCACCTCGAAACGCCGGGGCCACTCACGCGGCCGACGGCCCAGGTCTGCTGCTGCGTGCTCGACAGAAGCGGAGATCTCATGCCGACTGTCGGCGCTCTCAGGCCCCTCCAGCTCCTGGGCCAGATCCTCTGCCCTCTCGGCTTCACGCCAGGCTGGCAACATCACCTGTCGGATGTGGCCGGAGAAATCGGTCTCCTCTGGCATAGCCGACATGGCTGACGGCGATCCTCCCTCGGCGGTGCCAGCGGCTTCCTCTGAAACGTCGATGACACAATCATTGACCGTTCCGCCCAAGTCCTGTCTGGCGTCCGTCACCATTAACGGCTCATCACCCAAGATACACTGGATGACGCGATCCCCCGTCCAATGCTCGCCGATGAGATGGCGGGCGTCGAACGCGACACCGTTAAGGTGGATCTGCTGGACGTCGGCAGGGCCCCCGGGGAACCAGATGGCCGGGCCGCGGGCGCAGCCCGGTCAATTGCCCACAGATTCTGTCCGCGATTGAGTCGCACGGCGCGAACGTCTGGTAGCTGATCTGCGGGACAAGTGGCGCAGGCTTCGATGACGCCCGGGCGTTGTCGCGCCTGCTAGGTGAGCTGCACGCCCCTGGCACCCTCCATGTGGCCGACGGCCCTGGCCCCAGAGCCTGGTGCCACGTGCTCCCGGTGATCCACTGCGCGGCCCCGC